TTTTGATAAAAAAACACATTATTGCCTAAGACACATCAGAGAATTCAATTTTTAGTGCAAAATGTTCTTCTGTGCAATGCCAGCTTATATTTGAAAGTTCAAGTTTGAACTCAACCTGAACCCATGTGGTGGGTTTTTCTGTTTGTTGCTGTTGTTTTTGTTTTGTTTTTGTGTGTGTGTTTTCTTGCATTTTGTTTTGTTTTTGCTTGCATTAGACTTGTCAAATAAAATATGTAACGTTTTACCTTCTGCCCGGGCAGTGCTGCTGAGGCGCGCGTGATACGTAGAGTCACCACGGCTCTTCCCCAATGGCAAAGTCTCCGAGAAGCTGCTGGATTAGTTCTCTGGTGGGATGAACCTCTGTACGTAAACACGGGGCTGAAATGCACCCTTACCAAAATGTTTGGCACTGAGCCTCATCTTAAAAGGTGTCCCATGTGATAACCCCCCATAAAAGTTCATGGGGAAATGGATATTAAGCCTGTGATAGCACTTTCTATGCAGAGGTACATTTAGGGCAATATTGCTCTATGTTCAGCATTCATTTGTAGCCTGACATTTGCGGCATGCCCTAAACTTTTAATTATTTTCACTGTGAATTCTTAATAGTGTAATTGAAAATATTGCAGCAAAAATAATAATTTAAATAATGTCTTATGGGCTATTTCTTTCAGCCTTGTTAGCAAGTTTATATGAATCCCAAGGTTAAAAATCCTTCATTAAATTCTAAGCCCTTATCTACATGCCTAAAATGTGGATTATTCATGGCTGCAAACCCCTTCTGAAGGGATTTAATGATTATAAACTCACGCAACTTTTGTCTTTTGTACACTTTAATGTCCCAAAACTGAGAGACTGTAATGGAAACCAAAGCAAGGGGGAAACCTTTTCATTTCTTGTTTTCTATTTTGTTTTTATTTGGCGTGGGTTTTTTTCCTGAAAGTAGCATTTTGTTTTTCATTACAAAAACAAAAAATGCAGAACTACTCTGAAGTGTTCTGCTGCAAAGGGGATCATATATGTGTGTGTGTGTGCGTGTATAAATATATAAAATCTCCAGTGCTCTCCTGGCAAATTGCAGTTAAGCAAGGTATGCAGAAAAGAAGTGTTTAATGGTTAAATGTTACATGATGATGAAAGCAACAACACTCTCTCTAAGGAGAAAAGGGCAAACGTAGATGCATATGGAAGCTATTTCTGTGGTAAAAGTTAAAATTCCAAGAGGGATTCTCTATTTCTGCCTTCTTAGTCTGGACATGCCGGTCATTTGTTAAAAGCAGATAGGGATGTTGGACCTCTGCAGAAAATTACACAGAAAGCTGTCCTTGTAGTTTATCAAGAGTTGGCTGATCCAGGTGCATTTTTAGAACCAAGTGGAAATGTTGACTTCTCTGCTTGCTCTGAGCTACAAAAGGCAGTTGCCTAAAGTGTGGGCTGATGATTTAAAAAATAAAAAAAGCAAATCTGAAATTTAGGTATGGCTTAAAATGCAGCCTAGTATCTGTGAAGTTCTATATGCTCTTGCCCTTTTCTTTCCAGCTTTTGTTTTCTTTGAAAGGTTCTCTGTGACTCACAAGGTTTTTAGCCATATACTGTGCTGGAGGACTTAGCTGGGTTGTGAAAATTGCTTTTGTGCTCTGTGTGTAATCTAATTTCCGTGGAAACTTGCTGTGATCCCAATTGCATGAGAATTCATTTTCATGTGAAAAAACAACAGAGGTCAGAGGATAGCTGAGCCTTACAGTATATTTGCAACAGAGCCTTTGCTGTCAAGGAGGAAGATAGGGTTGTTGCATGCATAGCTGTGTGATGGTACAAAGATTTTTGTGGTGCAAGTTATGTATTTTTTACGACTGTAGTAGAAGGGTGCACCAGGGACACATTTAACTCTGTGACTGCAAAGATTCAGAGCCAATTTTCTTTCTGTGCTTCGGTAGCTGCAAATCTGTCTCCCATTTTCCGGGCTTCAGGAAGCTTATTCTAATGGGGAATGTACGGTCTTGTTGTCAACTGCTTGAGGTTAGTGATCTAGTAACTGATTCCATATATAGGCCCCACCTGCAGGTGGTTCCTCTCCTGGAACACTGCATCTGTGATGATCTCCTGAAGGTAGAGGTGCTTTGTGGTGCTCTGTTTTTCTTCTCTACACTTATTTTTAGGGGTTGTGTGGTACTTGTTTAAGAAGTCGAAAGGATTTGGCATTGCCGGTTCAAAGTTGTGCTACGCTTAAGTGTGTATCTGTCCAAGTTTCAAGGATATACCAGTTGCTCTAGCTGGCAAGGATATTTGCTTTCACTTGGCATATATTAACACTTTTATTGGTCCCAAGAGTATCTCTGCTATTTTAAGGGCTACACTGGACTTCATGCATTTATACAGCTATTTTATTTTGCCTCCCATTCAAGCCAAGTGCAAATACAAAATTAACCAGCGGTTTGATCTCCCCCTTTCCTGGTCAAAGTGACACTTGAAAAATGATTTGAAAATGAATATTGCCAGTGACTTTAGGGCAGCTTTGGCTGGTCGTTTTTAATCTGTATGGTTATCCCAAAGTCTTCTCGTGCCTGAGCAGGACAGCACAGGGAGGTGGCCTCTCCTGGAGTCCCGAAGGCTGCAGAGTCCCTCCATCGACTGTTGCTGCGTGATGATCTTCGTAACACGCAGCTGTGTCCAGACGCATCCTCCTAATACCGGCAGCCTCCATGTCTGAGTAATTGCTTTCTTTTTGCAGAAAAAACAGTTTTGCCCTCACTGTGCAGCCCTTGCTACTGGTTATGGCTTATTAGAAATTCTGCACTGATGTATTAGTGAAATGAAAGGTTAAAATAGCTGGAAATTCACATGTGCCTGTCAGAAGCCAAATGTCCATGGTGCATTTTTATTGTCAGAAGTCAGCGCCTTTATCTTCCTCCTAAACTTTAGCCTTCATGAAGTTGTGTTGATAGGAACGTGGACATCTTTTTTGTTTTCCTCCCAAGTTTAATTTCAGCTGTGATGTAATTCTGAAAAAAGGCTGCAGTGCATATATGAATGAATAGTGAAAAAGAAAGAGCCCTTAGCCTCATAAGAACTTTGAGAACCACAGTATAGCATTTGCAGGTATTGGAGTATTATATTAAGCAATGACAGCCAACTCTTCTCTATTATTTCTTTCTTAATAGCAAACTTAAGTCCATCCCAAGGATAAGATGGTCAGAGGTGACTCACCCAAACTGAACTTTGGTTTCTTTCTTCCCAATAGTACTCAGAATTTTTAGTTTTTCTCAAAACGATGTTCTCCAAAATCTGTCCAAGGCTATAGAAAAGAATTTAAGGCAAAACCTTGCTGCTGATGTGCATTGGCCCCAGTTTTTTTAATTGTGTATTTATATAAATGTGTGTGTTAGTGCAGGGGTTAAAGTGTGTGGGTTTTTTCCTCCCTAAACAGAGGGGTACTTCATGACACAAGTTCTTTCTGGGCTTTTAGTTCAGCTTGCCTGCCTCTGTAAGCTAAAACCATGTATTTAGTTATGTGTTCTTAGCATCTTAGTGATGTTCCACGGTCTAATAGTGTACTTAGGCACTTCCCTTGTAGCACTTTCTTCTTTCAGTTTTGAATTAAATGTGTGGCCTTTTGTGGGTTACATCTCTTGTGTTCTTAAGTCTCCCAAGCCCATTTACATGGCTATGGCAGTATAAGCAGGTCAGAAAACAGGGCTAGGTGTAAGAGCTAGTGGCCTGATCATATGTTGAAATACATAATTTCTATATTTGTGTAATCTTATATACAGCTAACCAGTCTCACTTCAAAGCAGTGAAGTGATACTATTACTAATGGGGCCTGAGGAGCAAGATGTTTTGTCCAGCATTGGTCACCGCGGTTGGCATCGCTGCAGGCTCTTCTGGCATGGCTTTAGGAGAAGTGCTTTCCAAGGGGAGGTAATCCTGGCAGTGAAACCAGATAACTTTGTACCTTAAATGCCTGCCAGTGAGCGAGCTGACGGCAGGAGGGACCTTGGGTCACCGGAGTGAGTGATCCTTAGCCAGCCCGGACTTTTGAATGTTGATATGAGCCGTGCTTGAGCGGAGTGAGGAGTCAAGAGGACATCTTTGGAGCTCAACAAAGTCAGTGAGTGCACCAGGGCTTTCCAGACCTCAGCGTTGTAGCACAGACAGCTCTGCTGTTGCTAGCGAGCTGGAAACCAGGGTTTGTGAGGATCCTGTCCCCTCACATTTAGCATGAACGTCCCAGAACATCTGCAATATGTGTATCCACACCCTGTGTTCTCCCAAAAGGTGCAGGAACGTGCTGAGCAAGTGAGGCCATGGAGAGAATGCCTTAATAACCGAATAACCTGTCGTCTGCCTCTGGCAGCATTGCTGCTTTGTGAAAATTGTCACTCAGGGAGGCAGGGCTTGGACGTGGTTTTGGAGTGGGCTGCTGATGAAGTTTTTGTGTTTAATAAAGCCCACAGACCCTAGACAACTGTTGCTTTCCTGTGTATTGCACCTGAGATGTCCGCAGGGAGCATTTGAACGCAAATGAATCCCCATGCATTTGGTAAAAAGGAGAGCTCTCTGAGGAAAGGTGACATGCTAACATGTTGCGTGTACAACACAGCTTCTAACACTTGTCAGACTTGTAAAGCATTTTTATCTCTTATTTTCTCTCTGTCAGGTGGAATATCTGTGGTAAAGTGTCTGTATCCTCAGGGAATGGGCTTTCCTTTAAGCGTATTGTCAAGAGCAGATAGGAATTCTGCAAAAGGTCCATTCAGTTGACTTAAACAGATGATGCTGGAGAGGTTTGAGACGTAAATTATTACCAAAAGCAAATTAATATAAATGTGTTCCTGTGCCTGCTTGTCTCTTGATAGACCTTCTCTGCTTGCCCAATGTGCTCGTTCTTTAAGAACTTGTGTTATTGTAGTTTCTTTTTTGGTAGTCATATTAAAGCTTTGCAAAATGTATGTTTTCTGGAAGCCAATAACAAACTTTGTTGTGATGTTCTTGCAGTACCTGCCCCTGTCTTCACTGCCACAACTGCTAAAATGGAGGTGGTTTCAGCTGAAGTCAACAACTTGCTCCCGGAGGAAATCATGGACACGGGTATAACTTTGGTGGAAGATGACAGTATTGAGGCAGTTATTGTATCGTCACCCATGGGAGATTCTATTCCCATGGAAACAGAACTGGAAGAAATAGTGAACATGAGCTCGACCAGTGACTCGTCAGCAGTGGCCACCCCTGCGGTCACCGTGGAACAAGTGACCGTGCCCAGCAATCACTCGGGCGAAGCAGCAGCCAACGTGGCAACTGCAAAAACAGAGACGAACGCGGTAGTCAAGCCTGCCTTTCCAAGTGGCCTCCACAAACTCGGTGCTCAGACCCCTGTCACTATATCTGCCAACCAGATCATCTTGAACAAGGCCGCTGACCTTAAAATAGGCAATCAGAGCATTAAGCCAGACGGACAGAAGCTAATTGTAACAACTTTGGGCAAGTCCGGCCAACCCATCGTGCTAGCGCTGCCCCACAGCCAGCTCCCCCCAGTGCAGAAAGCTGCCTCCCAGGCCCCCGGGGCTGACTCCAAGGTACAAGGCCAGCAGATCAAGGTTGTTATTGGGGGGAGATCAGAAGTGAAACCAGTTGTCGGTGTTTCCGCTTTGACACAAGGGAGTCAGCTCATCAATACAGCGGCTCAGCCTTCTGTGTTGCAGACCCAGCAGTTAAAAACAGTCCAGGTAAAGTGAATTGTGCTGTTGAAACCTCTTAAAAGCAGTTATGTTGCTGCAACTCTTGTCGATTTCCTTCACTGACTTGCAAAGGATGCCTTTCATCCTTTGCGTTTGTTCCGTATATACAAATATGATGTTGCTCTCAGCCTCTTTTTTCATATGTAGGTTCATTTACAATTTCATGTCCTCTGCCTCTAGCTACTGCCTAGAAACTTAGGGTTTGTGTCAGGAAAAAAAACATTGAATTGTCAAGGCTTTTTCCATTATTTTTTTTAATAGATTCTGCATGCTTTCGGGAAGATTGAATTGTACTCTTCTGTGGCTGTTATTTCTTTTTTCTTAGTGTGCACTGCTTTCTTCCTTTAAGATAAAAACAGCTTTTGCTTCTAATGTTTTGTTATAAATAGGCTGCCCCCCCGGCCCGCCAAAAAAAACAAAAAACAAAACAAAAAAAAAACCTCACAGCATATGAAAAACAGCATCAAGGTATCTTTTGTCTGCTTCAAATCTGCTTAAGTTTGTTAATAGCTGTGAACAGAGCAGGCATTCTCATAAACCAGATATTCCAAATCTGACTGCCGAGTTTGGCCTGGAGCCGGAGATATTAGAAATGAAAAAGAATCCGATGGGATCTGAAAATGTGTTGAAAAGAGCTGGGTTATTACCCAGATGGTCCCATTTTTTCGTCTAATGCACAGTGGAACTAAGTGTGAGTGACTCTGCTCTAGACAACAGTGATTCATGAATAGTATCTCATAAGAATGAAGGAGGAGTAGTGCTCAGAAAGGCTTATGGAGGAAAATATTTTACTGTCTGTAAGTGAAGTGAGAAATAAAAATCTAGATATACAAATAAACACTAATATACTGCACATGAAAAATAACCAACTAAAGCAAACTCAGAGCAGAATGGTGAGTTCCCCAGGTGCTATTTCCTAGCAAGCAAATGTAAGCAACTGCAATTCTCATGCTTGGTTGTCACTGTATCTTTTCAAGACGCTTCTGCTCTTGGCTCAGCACAGACACATTGAAGAATGGGTCAGTTGGTAGCATTTGGCTTCAGTTACTCCCTGCAGACTGACAGATACAGGCAAGCAGGGAGAGAATGACTTGGCTGCCTTGTGCTTTTTGTTTTTATCCAAGGGACACATGCAGATAGATGAGAGAAGTAATACCCTTCATCATGAATGACATAGGAGGTAACCCACATTTGGAGTCCCTGGCGTGGCAAAAGAAGTTAGGTATTTACCGCATGGTCTTGGAAAGGCTGTTGGGCTCTTAGTGCCCCCCTTGGCACCTTTGGCATGGAAAGGAAGCTGTGAATACATCCCTGCCTCCCAAGGGTGCTGTGGAAGTTGTGGAACTGATTTGCCAAGATCTTTTGGACGCAAGGCAACACAGCAGCTCAGATGGGTGTAGAAAGATGAATTGCAGAAAGACAGCTTGAGATGGTGAAGGGCTCTGTTCAGTTCTCCTTACATCATCGCTGTCTTTTGAGGGCTTTTCAGGTCACTAGAGGAATTAAATTAGCATTCTGCAGCCCTGCTGCGATCTGACTGTGCTATTCAAGATCTCAGCACTTCGGAAGAAGCGTAACGGACAGTTTGGGGAAATGTTCCTGAGGATCTTGCTGCCTCTCTGATGGCAGCTTTAGAGAGAGGAGGCTGCAGCCTGTGAAATGTAGCATGACCCTGGCTTCATCTCTACCAAGAGGTTTCTTGCTGTCGCTTCTAGTATAGACCTGGATGACTGCGCCGATTTCAACTCTACTGGGAGGACAAAGTTGAAACTGTGTAGGCAAAACTGGCAAATACAAGAGCCCTCAGCCTGGAGCTCCAGCCTGGATACACGCTTACAAGAAATGCTGTGCTGCTGTATAGGTGCATTAACCAGGTTTGAACTTACAAATGACACTTAACCAGATATGCAGGTCCACTTGCATTGCTGTCACTAAGCCAGCCCAGCTTGAACATGTCGCCCTCTGGTAACTGCTGTTGCACCTTTCTGGCTGTAGCATTCTTGCTCTTCTGGCAAGATAAGTCCTTATAGTGGCTTCGTTTTGGCACAGTTATTCACTCTGACCTCAGACTAAACCCCGGGTCCTATTTCTTTGTCCTTGGTCATGTTCTCAGAAGCTTTTGCCACGGTGGTCTTCCTTCCCAGGCTTGGTCATGTTATCATTGCTCCAAAAATAAGTCAAATAGAGTACGGCTGTATGTTTAAGGTCCCATTAGGTTATCTACAGCATGGATTTAGAGTACATCAGCTTCTCTGTGGTAGCTGCCTGTGTACACATAGCCTTCTTCACTGGTAAATGGGAGGTAGGGTTTGTGTGTGTGGTTTTGTTTTGTTTTTTTCTTTGTCTTTTTTTTTTTTTTAGTTACTCTAATGCCGTTTAACAGTTAAAGGCAAAGTCTGATCTTAAAACTGCACTTGTTTGTCATGTTAAGGAAAGAGTTCTTGGAGGAAGCCCCTTATAAATAAAAGACGCTTGCAGATAAATCCCTTCCATTCTGGAGGGGGAAGAGGCGGCATGTGTGCCTCTTAATCTAATAATGTTCTTTTGGAAGAGCTTGTTGCCTCAGGAAATATTTCTGCCATCTAATTCAAAGCAAGTTGCAGAGAGTGCACTTAGCTTGCGTAGGCCAAGAGAAGTAACATTAAGCTCCTTGTGATCAGGACCAGCAATGACAGAGGGCTTCAGAGAACTTGTTTTTACTGAAGCATCAAAGGGACGGTCTGTCACCTTGTGATTTCTCCTGGTTTCTGCAGTCTCGTACTGAAACAAGGAAGGAGTTTGCCCGCTGCTGCCTGGGAAGCAGTCACAAGTGGCTGCAGTGGATCCACTGCAGTGTCCAAACCCTCTGAAGGCCTCACTGGGAAGGGACAGCAAGTAGGGCAGGAGCTGTCAGTGCTCAGGGGCCAAGCGCCAGTCCTCTTCAGGCACTGACCATGTCAGACCTGCACTGGGTTTTCCAAGGCCATAAGGAATTCATTCATTAGTTAGAACGGGTTAGACCTCTTGCTTCCTAGACAAAAAACATTTCAAAAAACAAGAATCTTCTCGGGAGTCATTTCTGCTCTGGACCGATTTTATCAGTCGGTCTTGCACCCCTGCAGGTTGCACCTATGGAAAACAGCATTGTTTGTGCTAACCAGCTATTGTTTTTTAAGTTCAAGGGGCTTTTTAAGCTTTCTGCCATCCTTCAGTTAAGAGATAACTTTCAAAATCATTTTAAAGCATATTTGAGGATTGTTCAAAGTCATTTTAAAGCATATTTGAGGATTTGAGCTCTGTGTTCCTGCTAGACATGGATCACCTCGGGTGCCAGACTTTGCCCTTGCTTCAGAGAGTAGAGGCCGTAGTAACTGAAGTGCAGTAAAACCTTATGGCAGGGCAAGATTAACATCAGTAGAATTAAGATGATGAATCTAGCAGGTGAAATGTGGGAAGTTGATAAGAAATGAAAATGCATGCAAATTGTCCCAAAAAAGGATTTTTTTTTTTTAACAAAAGTCAACTGTGCCAGGAATTAAGTTTATCTTTGAAGAACCAGTTGTTTGAAGCTTTCACTCAATATAGCTCCAGAAAGAACTTCTGCATTGCTGAGGATAAAACAACTAGCACTTTTCACTGAAATGGGAGATGGGTGATTATTTCTGTTTCTGTGGATGAGCACGGCCCTCTTCTATGATTTTCTTAATTTGATGTTTTAGATTGGAAATGCTCAAGTTAGTTGGATCTTTTTCTATCCATCTTTCAGATTGCAAAGAAGACGCGCACCCCAACCTCTGGCCCAGTGATCACCAAGCTCATCTTTGCAAAACCAATCAATAGCAAAGCTGTTACGGGGCAGACGACTCAAGTATCACCAGTCATTGCAGGTTATACTTCTTGGACTTGTTTTGCTGTTTTTCTGGTTCCAAGAGATGGTGTTTTTAGATTTGAAATGTTACATACATAAGTGATAGCAAGTGAATCTGTTTAAAAAAGAAAAAAAATCTCCCTGAAATTAATACAATGAAAAAATTGAGAGGACTTTTACCCAGGCCTGTGACAGAAGCATTCCTCATGGGTGAAAATACCTCTCTACATGAGAGGAAAGTTTTTACAGATCTCTGTACTCTTTCTCCACCCTAAATGGCCAGCCCAACTTGCCAGCTGTGAAAGCTGAGGGGAAGGTGTAGCACATGTGCATTCTGTTTTCATTTTGTATATGATGACTTTTAATTGCCTGACAATTTTTGCAAACTGAGGCATAAGGTGTGTTTTTGAAAAAAACTGTAAAAACAAGCAGACAGGTTCTGTTTAGAGAGTTGATGCCAAGGGGTCAGAGAAAAGGTAAGCTGTCACCACTAAAAACAAACTAGAAGTGTTGCATAAGCTAGATGGTATAATTCCCACAAATGGTGATGTGTGTCAGGTTGCACATGGTTTTAGTTGTGTGCTTTTACTCTTGCTTTATATATGGCCTATCTTGAAGTCTGGAAATTTCAGAAGAGGGCAGTTTTCCACTAGGACTATCCTTTTCCATGGTGGTTCTCGATGACTTAATCATCATGTTACCATTTGATTTTAGGTAGAGGTTAGGCTGGATGATTTTTTTCTTGTTGTGATATCAATAGTGCAAGGCGCTGGATTAAATAGAAACTATGATAGAAGTGAGTCTGGGACAGAGAAGCTTTTTGTTCTTTGCCAAAGATAACAAAAGGAATTCCAGTGTTCTTTCTGGAAAGGTAATACATCCCCAAAGGTGGGGATAAATCATGAAAGCCAGAGAAGCCTTTTGCTTTAAAAGCTGTCATGAATGGGGACAACTTGAGCTGACTATATCTCTGTTGATTATAGGTAGGGTTCTTTCACAGTCTGCTCCAGGAACGCCACCAAAGACGATAACAATCTCTGAGAGTGGAGTTATTGGATCATCTCTGAGTACCACAGCTCAACAGACACCCAATAAAATAGCTATCTCGCCACTCAAATCCCCTAACAAGGTAAGGACTTGATTCTGGCTGCAGCCTTCCTGTCCCCCCTGCAACGTAGTTACCCATTCTGGCCATTTCTTGCCATTCCCTAAGCATCCACTCTGAGAGCAGCTGTACTCTCTTATCTACATAGTCAAATACTATATATTTTTTCTTAAGTTTTCATAAAAGGTCAACAGGCTGCTTTCCTTTCAAGAGGAGATCTCTGTGATGTTAATAGGCTGACACTTATTAACCATTGCCTAGTGCTGCACAGATGGTGTAAAATGTTATCTCTGCTCTCATCGGAAATAAGTGAGGTTTGCCATGGTCCTTGCTAAATGCAAAACCAAAGATTTGCACAGGTAGGCAAGGCATAGGAAAGAAGAACTTGCTGGTTACAGGCTGCGTTGCAGGCAAGTGTCAAGGTGACCCTTGCACGTTAGACTTGATAAAATTATCTTGAGAAGAAGAATTTTATTGGAAGGACGGTGAGTTTGAGACAGGAACCAAGAGCTGGGCTAGTCTAATTGTTCTCGGATGCTTATTTACATCACATGCTCTGCTGGAAGAATGACAAGTTTTTAGGCTTAGCCACGCTCTTTTTACCTAGGATTACATAAATATGGAGCAAAGAGCTTCTAGTACTGCACAGTTACTAAGGCCAAATATAGGGAATAAGTAAGTTTAATCTTACCAGAATAAGAATTCATGGGGGGAGACTGAGTTCCATCTTGTTTTCACTGTAGAGGAGTAATTCTTTGTCTCACTTAAGAACAAACATATTGGGCTCAGAAATAAGGATCAATAGGAAGTGGGAAAGTTAAAGTAAAATGGAAAAAAGCAGTCCTAGAAGGGTCATAGGTATACAGAATATTGTAACGTTCCACTGTGCAGGAAGCTGGTTGGAAAAAAACAGGTCCCTGCAGGAATCTAAAAAGGGGACTAGGAAATGATAATGAAATTCTTAGAGTTTGCCTGAATTCATGGTGTATGGTGAGGTGGTTACTCCCTTCTGCTCTGCTCATTTGAGATTTCTGTTTTTGTCATTTCTGTTTTGTTTTGAAACAGTCACAGTGCTGCTTATAAAGCTGCTGTTTAGCAAATCTGTTTGTGACAGTGCTCAAGCTTCAGTGACAGTTTTCTCTGTCTTTGGCTTTGGAAACTGGTAATGCCTTGAAGCTTCCAATGTGCATCTGAACGTATGTGCCATAGTTCGAAGGTGCCATCCGGGTGCGCGTTGATCAAGTGCCATGCCCTTGTCCCCAGGGAGAGCTGGAGGTGCCGGCTGTGAACTGTACACCTTGGATGCGGAGGGGGACCTGTATGTACAGGGTGTTGTTACTGTGCAGAGATTGAAACCAGCCTCTTTGTTTTGCCAAGCAGCTAACAGTGGTGTCAGTGGCCTCCCAGCCTCCCAGCTCCCCCCAGAAGACGGTGAGCGTCCCCTTGAATGTAGCTTTAGGACAGCAGATCCTCACAGTGCAGCAGTCTGCACCCTCTTCCCCTGGGAAGGCCATAGTCAACCACACAACGGCGCAGGTACCAACTGGCTTTTGTTTCGTCTTCTAGCATGTCTGTGTCTTGTCTCAGCGCTCGGGGCAGATGGGAGCACCAAAGGGCAAGTTTGCAGCGGTCAGTCTGTCAGAGCGTTCTTGTCGTGGCCTTTGCTTAAGAGCTGGCTCCAAAACTGCCCTGAGGAGCAGGCGCTTTCTAGGATGTAAACCACCATCAGGGTCTTCAAGGGCATGCAGGCAGAAAGCAGCTTTTCTACTGGGCAAGTCTTGTGCAGATCAAATACTCGCCTCTGTATATTAAATCTCTCCAGTCATCTGAGAGTCTTCCTATGACACTAAGAAAAGTTCCTCAGGTGCTTCAGTTCATTCCACTTGTGAATAGGGTTTGTGTCCCAGTGAGCATGGCTGCTTTCCAGGTATTTCTGAGGCTGACAGCAGAGCTCATGCTCTTGCAGCAGAGATCTGCCCAAGCGAGGCACGGAGAGCTGCGGTTAGACGTTAGTAACTTCTGTGTCTCTGTTTCTAGAAAAGCGTCAGGGTTGTCCATATGAGCGTGGAAAAAATCATTTCCATTAAAAAATGAAAACACAGAACTCAAGTCTTTCCTAACTTATTTTCTCTCTTTTGTAAATTATGTAATCTATTTTTATCTTAGTGTCTGCCTTCCTGTTTTGATCAGCATGAAGGGAGTTGTATGAGTGCAAAGAAGCAGGGGATTGCTTGAGAGGTGGACTTGCACATACAGCAAAAGACCAGGGACTCGGGCAGGTTTGACAGTCTTGTCTTGCCTTGACTGGTGCTTTGGGAACTTAGGCACCCGTAAGATTTATTTATTTTCTCCTGCAAAGGTTGTCTTTGTAAAAGAATTGTAAAAGTATTAATCATTTTAATGCAAGTGCCCAAAAAGACAGGATTGAGATGCCTGCACAGTACCTCCCGCCAAGGTATCTGCAACGGCACAAGGGTTTCCCTAGGCTGCACAGGCCCTTTTAAAGAACTAAGAACTGCCATGAAAATTAGATAATTTTCCCAGTTGTCCTTGGACTGCGGCCAATAATTCGTGTACTAGAAGCAACTTTGCCCACGTTGGTCTCCCTGTGATAAGACTTGTGCTGTGACTGTGCTCGCAGATAGCGCTTGTTATGAGTTGCTCTGGGTTGTTGAGGTTTCAATATATTTTTAAAGAAATTCCAAGAAAACACCTTTTCTAAAAGAATATCTGGTAAAATACATGTAAATATAGATGTCAGTTCTGGAAATACAGAAAGTCAGGATGCTGGGAAAATACAGTAGTAAATGGTGCATAAACTCTTCTAAAAACAAGGTATAGTATTAGTTGAATTTAATAATGAAATAGAATACAAATTATGTATTTAATACCAATATTAAAATGTTTGGGGAATAAGAAGATGAGCTGTAAAAGAAGTGAGATACAAGGACAGAGCAGAGGAATGGACCAAGACTTTTGCAGTTGTCAACAGGCATGGAAAAGGGGCTGTTCTCCACCAAAGCAGTCATGTAATAAATGCATATAAGTCAAGTAAATATTTCCTTGTTAATGGTTCGTAGTTAGAGAGAAATTGGAAAGAAGTCTTGCAAAATGGGAATATGCTTTTGTGCCAGCTGAGTTATAGGAAAAAACTCTGCCAAATCTCTGCTTATTTCTTTTTCCTTGCTTTTTTCCCCTTGTTATTCTTGCTTCTTTCTTTCCTTGGCCTGTCTGCTTTCTCATCTGTTCATGCTTCAGTTTGTGCTGTGTTTCATTCCCATCTCAAGGGCTGCTCACTGATTCGTAGGTTTTCATCACAAACTGTCCGACGGGATGTGTCTGTATACACAAAGATAAATCTCGCAGTAGTCCAGCACAAGCAGTTCTGCAGGAGCCTCTTACCCCTGTGTTTTTATTAGTAGTAATGTTCTTAGGCTTGTTCCTTGCTTGATTTTTGAATAAAAACTGAGCAATGTTTTCTTTAGTCATCTGCAGTAAAATCTGGCCGACATTGTATGTCGAGAAGGGGGCTGAGTCACCGTACTGTGTAAATATAAGATATTTTGGAGTTTGGCGTAAAAGTGTGCAAATGGAACCAAATTTCAAGACTTGCGGGACACTTAATCACTTTGCATCTCTGTTCTGCTCTGGAAAGTAAACGCAGGGATAATTGACTTTGTTCTTGTAGATAATACTAGTTAAGGAGCTGTTCACTAACAAATAAATAAATATGCTGAAGCTTTTTGCTTAGTTAAAAGTAACCTTACTGCTGTCTGTGTTGCCTTAACAGGCTGTGAAGTCAGCAGTGCAGACCATTACCGTAGGAGGAGTGGGTACATCTCAATTTAAGACAATTATTCCCTTGGCAACTGCACCAAACGTCCAGCAGATTCAGGTACCTGGAAGCAAATTCCATTACGTGAGACTTGTCACTGCCACAACAGCCAATAGTTCAACCCCATCTGCCAGCCAAAATCCCAGTACGAATACACAGCCTCTTCAGCAAGGTAAGTGCTGGTGCCCCGGACCTTGGCTGAGGCACCCAGTGAGGTTGGCTCAGCTTGTTTGCAAAGCCTTGACGTGATGACTACTTGATAGAAATCTTACAAGACTGCTGGATAGACTTGCTTTTGTGGTAGACACCTATAGATTTAGGAAGGCTTCATATTCCTCTGGTTTGAATGTGGAAATGCTTCTGTGTCCAGCTCTTCTGTAGTGAAGTTGAAATCCTTGGAGCATTTTGGGCTTTTTCTTCCCCTGGCTTATCAGTTTTCTGGGTGATCTGTGGCAAGTCCTTAATAGTCCTGATGAAAAGTGTGAAGCTGGGAAAGGCCTACCTACATTTTGCCAGGCTATTGCAACTTTAAGATTTTGGACTATAAGGTGCTTTCCAAGTGCCAGATGTTTCTGCTGGTTTCTGCCTGTGCTTTCTGGAGCTCTAGTGGAATAAGCAGGCTCAAACATGGATGTGCTTTTATATTCTTCTATTGACAAACGGAAATCCAGGTTCAGAGGTTGTATGCACCTAGCCTGCTTTTTAAAGTGTTGCTGTGAAACACATGCATGTGGACTCCTTACTCATTTACAAAGGTGTTCTTTAAACATAACACTATTGATGTGACTGGTGTTAGATCAGTTGATCTCAAACACATAGATACAGTATTTATGAGTAAAAATAATGTAGAAAAGATACTGGATGAATTATCCAAAGGAGAAAAGAAATTCCTAAGAGTTAGCCGCGTGGTATGAGATGAAGAGTATCTCTGTACTCCATTTTGGTCAAAATCTGGAGCACAGGGAACTTGGCTTATAAGTGATGAATGTCATGCAATGTGGTCTCTTTATCCTAGCGAAACCAGTGGTGGTGAACGCAACCCCTGTGCGGATGTCTGTCCCCATTGTGCCAGCACAGACTGTCAAACAGGTGAGCTCAGTGCAACAGACCTATTCCTGACTGATTTCTGCTGGACAACCAAGATGTCCAGTTTGCAGCACTTCAGTGCAAGGATTTATCAAAAAGTCTACGCTGGACAGACAAAGATTTCATAAAGATTCACCAAGATTTCACCTTTTTTTTTTTTTCCCTAGGTGGTGCCCAAACCAATGAACCCAGCTTCCCAGATAGTTACTACTAGTCAGCCCCAGCAAAGACTTATTATGCCAGCCACTCCACTGCCACAGATACAGCCCAACCTCACTAACCTGCCCCCGGGCACCGTGCTGGCACCAGCGCCTGGCACAGGAAATGTAGGCTATGCAGTCCTTCCAGCTCAGTACGTCACGCAGGTACGGTGCTAACCCAGCGACAAGCCAAGGAGCTCATACGGCGTGGATTATCTTCCTGTTCAAGTTCTTACTCTGTACCGTGTGTTTAGGAATTAGCTTTCTGCTTTGCTGAAATCTGCTTAAGGTTCAAAATGACAAGAAACGCAAACGATAAGTTCTGCTGAAGGTTAATTAGCCTATCAATACAAAGAAGGATAGTTTTATCAATATCAGTACAAATAAGGATAAATAATTTAATTTATTAGGTACACAAAACAAACTGTGCAACAAGACCAACTGGTCTTGTTCCCCTTAGTTAATTGCATGTGTTTCGTTTTTGTTTTATTTCAAATCATTTTTTTGCTGTGGTGTGGGTTTTTGTTTGTTTTTTGGGGTTTTTTGTTTTGGGGGTTTTTTTTGTACCAAAGTGATAATGTACTGTTGAAAATATAGGCCCACAAACACCATATGAAGTGGGTGGTAAGTGACTTGTAGACTGAGAAAGCTATTGTAGGTTATTAGTGCAGGAGGTAAAGTTGATGTATTGGGGAGGGATTCCTTTAGGGGAATAAGTGGAAAATAAATGTGGCTTTTAGGAAGTGTTTGGTGTGAGCATTTATTTGTGGTCTCTGTTACATATATGGCTATAGATGCTCTAGCAGAGAACAAAAACAGCCTGAAATAAAGTTTTTCTACTAGATGTGCAGGCCTGGTCCAACTTCTACCAGTTTCTGAAACTGTAGTGAAAGGCATAGTATTTTGCTAAGAGCAGATGAAATGTCAATTAAAAGATTTGCTGGAAATAACATTGTATAAACCTTTGTTTTTCATGTTACACATTAACATTTTGTTTTCTTAGCTACAGCAGTCATCTTATGTATCTATAGCAAGCAACACCAATTTCACAGGGACATCTAGTATCCAGTCCCAAGCACGGCTGCCATTCAACGGGTGAGTGTTAGGCACACAGATTTTAAAAAGCAATCCTCCTGCAGGGTGAGCTGCTCAATAAACTGCTTGCATCCCTCTCAAAAAGAAGAAAATGTATATATGTTTTTCCCTAAAGGAGAGCAATAGCAGTTGTTATGAATTTTATTTCCGCTTCTACACCCCAGTAATTTTGGCAATTCTGACAAGTCTTGCTGTGTTTCTGCTCTTCAAAAATTGAGTATGCATAGGTAGTTTTCAGGGCTGTAACCTGAAGTGTGATGCAAACTAATCCCAAATCCAGATGCAGCTATTCAAATGAATTGGTTTGTTTTAATCTCCTGGTATTGCATGCAGAAATTGTTGGATAAGGATGGACTTTATCTCATCAAAACTGATTAGTGACACAAAATCCCTGTTTTTAAGAGTAGTTAAATCCAATCTCTGCTATAATTTTTTTTTAAGCTGAATGCTGGATTTCGGCTTTCTTGCTTGTTCTGAAGCTTGTAAACTTCATTTAATTCCAACTTGAACAAAACAAAAGGCCTGGTCAAGCTGCGCAGCCCTTGGCTGCCTGCAGCCCCTGTTGTGGCTAGAGGTGCTCTGGGGCAGTAGTTATGATCCGTTGTTTAGCTTTGAGCCTTATTGCTGCCTTAGGCACACAGCTAGATGGGCAGCCAATAACATGGCTCTTCCTGGGTTGCAACTACTACATCCTTTATTGTAGTTGCATAAACACAGTCAGCCAAAAAGCTATTGCAAGGGGACTGTAGAGGTTTTCCTGTGCTTGTATATAAGCCACACATGTGAATTTCAAGTAGGAAGAAACTGATAATATAGCAGATGTGTAAATAGTTCACTTCAGGATGTGTTTTCTTTTTTTTTTTCTCAGAATAATTCCCTCTGAATCTGCCAACCGCCCCAGGAAGCCTTGCAATTGCACCAAGTCTCTGTGTTTGAAACTGTGAGTAGAGCTTGTTTTTAAACCTTCCAGTTTTGACATTGCACATTTATGCCAAGAGCCAGAATACAAGATTTTTATGTGTACGAAAAGTGGAAGGTCTGCAATCTATTTTAGATTGTTGTTGATCCCCTCCGTGGAAATGGTGCAGTGCCTGTGCCATTTGAATGAAGCAGAGGGGAAATTGTGGCCACCTCAGTTTATCCCAGATTGCTAACCTTGCAGCCTTGTGCATGGGGGAGCAATTTTATCCAGCATTTGGACTTGAGTTGTCGTTGCTGTGAGTGCAATTAGATTCTACAGTACCACTAGTGGATCCCTACCAAAACATGCCAAAAAAGCCATGCTGAGTTAAGTAGCTCAGAAAGATTGTGCTGGGTATTTTTTTGAGGCACATGACTAGATATATGTTTTTTCATTGAGTCTTGCTTATTCTGAGGAGATACTTTTCAAATGCCAAATGGGTACAGAGGCAAAGACTATTATGATTTGAGGAGCTTTCTAACTCAAGGCCATCTAATTTTTTTTATCTTCTGTTTTAGGTACTGCGATTGTTTTGCAAATGGTGAATTCTGCAATAACTGCAACTGTACAAATTGTTACAACAATCTGGACCATGAAAATGATAGGCAAAAAGCAATAAAGGTGAGGAATCTTTTCTGTCTGATTTTCTCACGTCATTGAACCGAAAAGCATGTTCCTATTGAATAGCACTGAGACAGGACAGCCGACCTTTGGGTTCCCCTGTGTACAGCTGGGGGGAAAGCAGTAGCTTCTACCTTGTAAAGCTACAGGGTGCTTAGGGTAGGTTTATAAAGCCCCAATATCCTACCTGTGTGGGAGGTTTAAAGCTGTTGCCTTTAAATCCTGCTCCCCATGTGTGATGACTGATGTTTTGAGTCTGTGTTGACAGGCCTGCCTGGACAGAAACCCTGAAGCCTTCAAGCCCAAAATAGGGAAAGGAAAGGAAGGAGAATCGGATCGGCGACACAGCAAAGGGTGTAACTGTAAACGCTCGGGATGTCTCAAAAACTACTGTGAATGTTATGAGGTATAAAACATGATCTTGTCCTAGCCTGTGGCTTTTCTTTTTTGGTACTGTGACTTCTCAGCTCTGCTTTGTCACTTAAGTTGTGTTTCCCTCCTGACGCTTTGACTTTGGCCAACATTTGAAAAGGTGCCTGACTAGTACCCATGTCACATCTTACTGTTATCTGTATACTTTGTAAATAGTGTCTGTATTTAGTATGCAGCAGGGAGAGTGCTTCTCATTTTGCAATGGGCCATCTAAGACTTTTCAGTATTGTTGCAATGGTTACACTGATCTGGCAATTTGCACATACAAAGCAGTGCATGTTGCAAAATACATTGCTTCCCTTGAATTTATTTCTAAAACACCCAGCAACTATGTACTCATCTTGAGGTTGTCCTTTACTGAAGAGCAATAGTTCATGAATACATCTATGGCACCATCTCTCTAGGAGCTTGAGCAGTTAAAACAGCATACTGCACGAGAACATGTAAGGCTTTGGAAGTCAAAGGCCAAAATCTTGTTGTTTCAGCTAAATGACTGTTTTAGCAGAGGTGGAATTCCCCTCTTAGTGAAATTCACTCGGGTTTGAAAGGATAACTGAAATCTTTGACTTGCATTTGTCTTGAGCGTTTGTTCCAAGGAGACATCTTGCCTTGATTTCAGAACTTAGAGTAAACCACACTGGTTTCTTCCAGGGCATAATTGGTAACACGCTACAGCAGAAGTAGCTCTTCCCCACAGTTTGTCATAAAACGGGTCTGAACTGCAACTACTTACCTCATGACCTGTTTCTTTCAGGCAAAAATCATGTGTTCTTCCATATGTAAATGCGTTGGCTGCAAAAACTTTGAAGAGAGTCCGGAGCGCAAGACGCTGATGCATTTAGCAGATGCGGCCGAAGTCCGAGTCCAGCAGCAGACGGCAGCGAAGACCAAGTTGTCTTCCCAGATCTCGGATCTGCTGACAAGGCCAACGCCAGTGCTCAGCAGTGGTGGGGGCAAGTAAGTTGATGCAGTTCCCCTTGTCACTTGCTCCTAATGGGATCTTTAGTCTTGTGGGGAGTGACTGGGGTTTTTATTCCGTTCAGGCTGCCTTTTACCTTTGTCACCAAGGAGGTAGCGGACGCAACCTGTGAATGCCTCCTCGCGCAGGCGGAGCAAGCGGAGAAGATGGGCAAGTCCAAAGCAGCCGCGGAGCGCATGATCCTGGAGGAATTCGGACGCTGTTTGATGAGAGTTATTAACTCTGCAGGGAAGTCCAAAAGTGACCCTTGTGCCATGAACTGCTGACTCATGCATGTGAGCTACAGCTAAGCGGACTGAACGGAACATTTAAGGCACAGGGACACTTTGGTTTGGGACAGAGGATTTAACAATATTTGTTAATTTGGTGCTTGTTTTAAATTGACTTGCAAAAGATTGAAATGAGAAATTCTTTTCTAACAGATGTAGAGTCTTTTAAATCTTAGCTAAATCCTCTTCTACTTATGACGATGCCTAAAGGTGAATTTTCCTTCCTGATGTTGTACAGCTTTTAACCAGGGTTTTCTAAGACTTGGATGTTTTCTTCCCGTCCCCCCAAATAATTGCCTCGAGGGCATATATAAATTATTATAATATATATTATTTACGGTGTATGGAGTTGCATCACAGTATGCATATAAGAAAACCCAGATGCTGACAACAAACAGATGATGCTTTTGGCAATGAGCCCAGAATACAGAGAGATATCAGTGTAACCAAGGTAATTCCAGAAAGAACTATGTACAATAGAGCATCTAAATGGCCAATAGTCCTGGTACTGAGGAGTGGATACAGGAGGCTCCTTAATGTGTGCAGCAATGTGAAACACACAGTTGTGTGTGGGTCAAGAATCTCACCCAAGCAGGGCCCAAGGTGCTCAGAGGTAAATGCAGCTGATATAGATATATATATTTTGCTTGGTGGCTTTGCATGATAAAATCTTTGGTGAGAGCTCAGGTGTTTTCTAAGCTGGAATGTGAAAGCTGAGGCAGTGTCCTGCTTGGAAAAGCAAGAAGGAGCAGAGATGCTGTGATGCTCGGCTGCCTGCCCAACATCATGCAGTGCTGGCTTGAGTGACAAGCATCTGGATGCTGTGGCTTAGGTTGAGCTTGGTACTCGGAGGTCTTGGGTAGTCAAATGTGTCCATGGAAGTAGGGGGATTTGGCCTGTTGCGTTTTTGAGGGTCCAGCTGGTACCCTGGAGGGGTATTTCCAGCCCTAGAGGCTGGGGTGACAGAGTACGGTGCAACCATGGTTGTCTCAGTTGGGACTTGAGATGTCTGCATCCAAACTGACCCTGTGAACAGGTGTGGAGATCATGTTTGCCCTGGTGTGGGGGTCATCTCGATGCTCCTTTTTCGTATGTTGTCACGTTAGTGATTTTTTTTCTTTCTTTCTTTTAGTTGAAAGTTTTTAGAAGTTGTTTAGGACAACCATGAGAGCCGTGATCGTACAGGATGCTAGCACAGAATCAAGACTGCTACCAAAACATACATGCTGATTCTTTGACCAAAAAAAAAAAAAAAAAAAGAGAGAGAGAAATCACCTATGGCAGTGTATAGATTAGGGTGGGGTTTTTTTTCAGTATTTGTTACCATTTGAGGCAAGCTTAGATCACAGTTTTGATAGTGGAACACATTTACAAACTGAAACCGGTAAGGTATTGACCTAAAAGTAGCATAATAACCATGTTTAACCCCAGGTGTTTTTATTAACTGTCTTACTGCTGCCTGAAAAGAAAATTTTAAAAAAATGCTGTCTTTTTTTCCAAAAGGGATTTTGTATTCCTTGTGTAATTGTAAATACAGAGATATGGCAGAGCTCTTCCTCGGGGGTTTTGAACAAGGCCAGGCTGGGAGAAGGTAGGGACAAGGCAAACCAGCAGCAGAGCCAAGTGCCTACATGTGTGAGGACGGCAGCAGGATGGGGGAGGATGCTTCCGCTCAGCGGCTTCTCCCCATGCTCCAGGACACTGAGCAAAAGGCCCTTTCTCTTCAGCCCACATTTGGTGTCCCCCAAAACAGCTTCCTGAGGTGCAGGGGAGCAGATTTGGCCAGCTGGTCACCATCTGAAGAGCCCTGTCCTGTAGCAGCATCTCCCTGAGCAGAAATAGCAAATACGCGTGTGCAAATCTCCGAAAAGGGAATCCATCGCTCACTTGAAGTAATGCCATTTTTTCCATAATTAGGACTTGGATTTATTAACAGTCAGTGCAGTAACTTTACATGTAGATAGTGCAGATATTCAGTTTACTTCTAGTGACCTAATATAGTATGTCAAGTAAGATTTGTATAAATGTAAATTAGTGTAAGTGAATAAAGTAATACCTACTTACGTTATTTTTGAAACAGATTGCAATATGCCTTCTTTTGTTTAGACTTCAATCCATGTTAATTTTGTATATATTCTGTGTCTTACTCCAAATTGCACCTTTTGTGATGTGTATTTATATACAGTGTGCAAAAACACTTGTGAAATTTAGATAACAGTTGTAATTATGTATGATGGCATTGCTTGAGAATATTTTGCTTGTAAAGACTTTGAAGGTGCAATCAAATGCTCTTAGTTCTTCTTTGTTGTTCTGAAGAAGCTCTCTCCAATGCGAACTTGGATTCCCCTCTCCCTGGTATAGTATATATGAATTGGTTTTTGTACTTCCTTAGACATTTGCATCAAACTGCTGGACACGATCTACAGTCAAGTTCATCCGGTTACATAAAAATAATTGGGAAAGGGGCAAGGGTTCATTTTCTAGTTCTGTTTACATCTGAAAGTAGAAAAATTAAATTTATATTTACTAGACCTATTCAAAGAATACACTTTTCTATATTGTAAAAATGAAACAGCCAGATAAATCACAAAGAAAAATAAACATTTATACTATTCTGTAAATATGATCTTTTTGCTCTCCTTTCCTTGAGTGCTGACAAATACGTGGAAGGATTTCTCACAGAAATGGCAAAGCAGTAAAGAGTTATCAGTAGGCACAGTTTTGATGCCTCAACTGCCTCAACTGGTACGCGAATCCTACTGGAGACGACCTCTTGGTCACTTGAGTGCATTCCTGGATAGCAATGACTGTGGCACACCACCAGGGAGCTGAGCCCATGTCTTGGTCTTTATTTTTGTAATTGTTTCATAAGAAACAAGCTTTTGTGTGCTGGTCAGACAACAGTTTTGTTTTATGAGTGGCTAGGAATTTTTTTTTTTTTAAACAGCTCTGTCATGTTACGTTACCTGCATTAAGGAATGTGAAGCAAAAAGAGAGCTTGCCCTCTCTTTTTTGGTTCTTGTGTGTCTGATTTCTCCAGAAGAATATCAGGCCCAAGTAAGTGAAAAAGGGATGAGGTTTGGATTCCATGCCATGAGACGTGTGAAGAGGTAAGGGCATGCCCAGGAGGATGTGGCCGGAATGGGCTTGGTGTTGCTGTGACAAAGGATGCTCCATGTTTCACCGGTGAACATCTGGACAAGAAGTGTGGGTACGAGAAAGCAGTGCCTGAGATAGGCTGTGTGGAGAAAGGGGAGGCAGGAAAAATCTGCTCATAGTGGCTGCAGTGAAGGCATGTGCATAAGACTGGGCACTGAGTCAGTGACTGGCAGAGTAGGTGGTAACAGCAGCAGCAGTGCAACTCCACCCTGAGCAAGCTCCCCTGTGGGCCAGGTAGGTATTTTCCTTTTGGTCAACACCCTCTGGCTGCTTCCCAGGCAGTAACTACTCCAGGTTAGCACAGCTGAGAGAAAAAAAGGCTTCAGGGAGATGGAAGGAGCCCTCAGGAACAAGTCCTGATGGTGCATCCAGCCTTGGCATCCAACTCGTGTCTGCAGCAGCCTCCTGTCAGCGACATCTCCTTGTAGTCCCTTTGAGCAGCTTGCAGTGCAAGTCATTTATTGAACCTCTCCAGTTTAACTGCTCATTCACCTGGGGCATCTTTCTCCACCAGGATCTGGCCCTCTCCTGCCCACCTTAGTGAGAAATGCTGATACACAATCCTGGAAAGCTGCAGTAATTCTACCAGACAGTTGAGGACTTCTGTGGCATTCTTCCAAACCCTCTGCCACCCAACCTGAAGTGAATTACAAAGGGATGAGTAAACTGTGCAAGATGTTTCAGCCCTGGGACTACCAAAGTGCCAGAGTCATCCTGCACTGTTAGTCAATGAGCAGCGACCACAGTAGTGGCACAGAGGAGAAATCTGAACAAAGAGGAGCTCCCTACAGCCCACCTCTGTGTGCACAATGTTGCCCCCAAGGCCAGGAGCTCATGCCTGGTGCAGAGCAAAATTCACTATGAGGGATGAGGCTTCATCTGAACCCAATGACACCATGTTTCACTTGACAAGAGACCAAATGTCTAATGTGACCAGCGAGTGGTAGCAGCCTTAACTGCCAACAGGAAAGAATAACAGTACAGCAGGGCCTGCTCCCCACAGCTCCTCTCATTTTGTTGCTGGAGCTTTAGATGATGCGAAATGTTGGAGCTTGAAGTTTGTGGTGGAAACAATCCAGCCACTGAGACCTCGGCGGCATTTTGGCAGTTGCCCTAAAAATTCAAAAATAACATTTATACATATATATATATAGTAAGAGTTACCTTTACACAGTCGCTTGTGGCAGCAGTTAAGCTGGACTTGGTTACTCCATGTGGAGCACTGCATCCCCCAGCAGCCTCCTTACCGCAGAAATGAGCTGAGTGGAGAAGCCTGTTCTGCTACTTGACTTCATGGGCACGGAATCCAAATTAATGAGTGGAAATGCTGCCTGAAGGGGCCTGCGGTGTGCCAGGGGCTGGAGGACGTGCCCAACTACAGCGCAGCCCTGGGAGGACAGCGTCATGTCGCACAGAGAGTGGGTGACCTGGTTGGGCCAGGTAATAAGAGCAGAGAAGCTGACTCTGCAGCAGCTCAGCAGTCCATGCCTGAGCCCTGGCCACAGGGGCAGGACAGGGATTTGAAGGACAGCTTCCACCTTCTCTGCCACACTGCAAGGCACAGCAATGGGAAAGCTGCTTTCACAGGTGGAAATGATTCCACTTGCCCAGATTTTTAATGGCAGTGTAGATTTTCAAAAGTCAGGCTTCAGCACTGTAGTTCTGTAGCGCTGTCCACTTTGCACTGAGTCCAGCTGGAGGTCCAATGGCTTGCTTAGCTTGTTGAGACCTACAGGAGGGGGTTAGAGCCACAGACAACACACTTATTCTTCTCCTCACAGCTTTATTTTCCTTTTAAAGTAAAAGCTCTGTCATCTCTTGCATCTTTCACTGCAGCATCTTTATGATAGACTCAAATTAGCTGCACCGTTAATTCCCCAGGCCCCTGCAACTGCAGGTGCATCAGTTTTTCTCCTGCTAGCACGACACCCCACTGCACTAGGCATCCCAGCATTGCAAGGGGACCCTGCGTTGTCCCCTGTGACCTCACTAC